TTTTCGTAAAACTGAAATTTTGTGTGACGCTCTTGTATTGCCTAAAGTCCGTTAAAACAATCGGCATTACAGAACACTGGTAGGACCCAGCATTATAACACATCAAATCTTAAAACAAATACATTATTTTCTCAAAGGGATGTTGAACCAAACATTTCAGTGCCTATAACAAATGGCGCACTATATTTCCATAAGTCAGCAGACGCCAGCGGCTGCTGTCTCATGGAAAGGTAGTGGGCCACTTATTATGAGCACTGAAATGTTTGGTTCAGCATCCCTTTAATGTTTCAAATTGTGCGCTATATTAGGTGTTTTTTTAACACATGCGCTTCATTATTGTGGCCTGTTTTACCTGCAGTAAATTGTCTCGGATTGCGATGCCCGTTCTTCCGTCTTGCCTAAACATCTGGCGGCCCCGATCCAATGCGACCATAGTTCACTTGCCTACAACTCGAAGCGGAGCCATCAATCAGTGCCGAAAGCGAAACATCTAGGCGTTTGTCAACATTTTGTGCCCGGTTCATTGCTGGGTAACCCGATCTAAACCGGAGAAGGCCACATTGCCTTGAGCCTTTAATCTGCGTGCAGGTCTTAGTCTCCCTTTAAACAATTGACCGTGCATTTCTTTACAATGAATCGAAGTATAGTGCAGAGCGGTCCGCCGCGGCCGGAGACGCCACATTCTTGCTGACCAGCCACAGGGCAACTGACATTCACATGGAAAGAAGACACTTGCAGCGAAAACGCTCATACACATGAAGGTGTTTTTACAGTTGAAGCGCTTTGACCAACCATGGGGTAACGTGGCGAATCCAACTACGATCTGCGCAATAAAGTGGTGAAAATTCCAGCTTCCTTGGTATGATGAGGTGTTGGATTTCCTTAATAAAGACCATAACTGAACGGGCACATTCCGCATGAGAAGCCGTGCGCACCTCCACTTTCCAAAAGCTCAATATTATTCGAATTGTTCCTGTTTACTAGAGTCCATGGCTGAATCCGATGTATCATACGCCACGACAGCCACTTTTCAAAGGGTTTCACGGAAGTAAAATTTAAGGCTGTGTTAGGAGTTCTATGGACTTGTTTGTTAACATGAAAATAAACATGTAAATAAAAACGATAAAAATAATTAAGGTGCAAGGTTTGTGTCGCCTTTATGTTGTCAGTTCGTCTCCATTTTAAATTGTGTCTATTGAAGCTGTAGGAAACTGCGAAATGCCAATTTATGCTTGTTTCAAACTTTTTGCTTCGTGTTATTAAAACTTAAGTAATTTTCGCAGCGTTTTCAAGGCTACTTGCAATCCAACTCAAATAAAACATGAAAAAAAGGCGACGACGGAAAAAGAAGGGGCAAGCACGAAACCTTTTAAATTGAGACGTTTTATGTTAAGATTACGTCTCTATCTGTTAAGTGTAACTTTGCAGCGCAGTATACATCAGAATGGCAAACCAACTAGCCAAATTCCGGGCATTGTGTTTGTCTCCTTCTTATTTTCTTCCATCTTAGCCGCTTCGTTTTTCGCGAAAATGTGTAACATTACCTTGCTTGCCTGTTTACTTACTCCTTCTTCAAGTAAGACGCAAGCCAAAGCCATAAAATTGCGCAGCAGTGCGGGACTGCATCACCGTAAAAATATATCTCTCTCTGACAACGTAGCAAAAAAATGTTGATGCCGACTGACAGAATGGGCATTTCAGCTAAAGAAAATGCGCGGAGAAAAAACATGCCAAAAGAAGCGTTGCGATTCCCGCCACAGCGTCACTGGCCGTATTGAGTTCACCACAAAGTCACAGCAGGCAAAACAGGCTTAAAGAGGTACTCCGGCGTTTTATTCATGGTCCCTGATTTGCCTCAAAATCTGCTAAACACCCCAGCAAACGTCGCTCAAATAGTAACCCAAATATTGAGCCATAGTGGTTTCGCGTAAGTACGGAATTTACAATTTTGATCCTCACCGCTTTTTTAAAAGTTAGTTTCTACTGGAAACAATAAAAAAGAAGTTACGGCAGCAGAAGGCAGGGGTTCACTCTTTAGGCTGTAAACTTTGTTCTGAACTGGTCATAAGGATGTTTCATTGCGCCAAATGAATGTTTTGGAAGCTCGCTTCCTCACCTGTGCAGCAGGACGAAACAAATGCTCGGCATAGTTTATTTTTAGAAAAACGATTGGGGTGTGTGCATGATTAAACAACCTAGGACCTAATCTGCCTCAACGAGCGGCTTGTCTCCCAGATATAGATGAGCCATTTAGCCAGTGCAGTACAACCGCTACCCTGGGGTATTTAACATTCATCACGCACTATTGATACACGAACGCACGCCGGTACGATGTTCATCCAGGTTGAAACAGGTGGGTGTGAAATATATTTGACGACTACCCACACGACCTGCAAGCCTTCTACTGACGTCACACCACTGAAAAGCGCGGATACACATCTGAAAGTTGGCTTTTGGCGTCGTTTTCACCTGCCGATTTCCTAATAACTGTTATGAATTTCATTGGACTAAACAGCATACCGGAAAGGCTATAGGCCGGTGATTCTGGAAAGATAATCAGTTGAGGTAGCTCAAAAAATCTTCGGAATACTCCTTTAATTCCACTAAGGCCGTATTGGAAACACCCCTAGAAATGGATTAATCTTGGCGGTTCACACAAGTAGTTTATGCTGGTGGCAAAGAAAAGCGCACTTGATTGGTTTGCAACTCCTGCCGATCAGATAGGTGAGGCTGACATTTGAAGTCTTAATTTTCCTCATGGCTTCGTCTGAAATCGAAATCTTCAGAATGTATTACACGCTTTTGCGAGGCGCCGCCAAGTACGCGTAAAATTAAAACCAGCTCTTCTAAATTGTTTTCTAAGTGTTGTGTAATATTTCTACAATGTTTTCTCCACTTTCCGCTGATATTTACCGCTGGTGTTCCTTGGTCTGGAAAAGTCGCGTATCCTAATTTTTTATAAGTTCTTCCTACAAAGTCTGTAAACGCAAGAGAGAAATTTCGCTGTACTCCCGAATTGGTTCCTTGCATTTGAAGTGACAAGGAGTAAAAATATCAGGTACGTTTGAATAAATATTTGTTTTATAATATCAACGCGCGGCAAAGCGCGTATAGTGTGTTTTTATTGCACTGTTGTTGGTTTTGCTCGGTGAGTAAGAATATATATTATACGCCAAAGAATATCTCTTCTTGAAATTTTATATTGTTATGTCTTTATGCTTTGCTAACGTCTTGTTGTTGAAAGATGATGCAGTCCCACATCGTCTAAATCAGAATCAAAAAGAACATGTCGATTCTCTCCTTGGAACACCCTGAGGGGTACTTTTAATTATCTCAGTTCAAATGTGCTGAAGTAGCTCAGTAACAGTATTAACAAACATGTCTTGCAGTATGTCAGATAATCATTTATCACCGAAGGTTAAAGTTGGTATGCTACAGTGACACACCAGGGTAGCCTTCTTCGTCCGGTGTAGCAGTCTGGGCAGATTTCAAGCAAGTGTAGATCTCCACAAAGTCCTTCGGCACAAGGCTGGAGCGACAGAGCTGAAAGGTGCCACTTCGACTAGAGTGATAAACAAAGAAAAAACTAAAGTTTAAAATATTTGGCTAGATACTCTAGCAAACTCAAAATGTGCGCTGTCGTCCACAAAACTTCTTATTGTAAAGCTCTGGCGATGATGGAACGTCGACATGATGCGTGATATACATGAAACAAAGCAGCCGTGATCTCATCCTATGAGCGGACATCACATCCCTCGGAGAAATTAAAATTTTGCGAGAATCCTAATGGGCAAAAAATGAAATGTGACCACGTTTACTGCAATGACTATGGACCCTTAGCAAACAGTTGCCGTGTTTCGCCTACCGCACCACCTGAGCCTTTAGAGCATGCTTTTATGCGCGCGCTCGGGTTATACAGGGACCAAGGTGCGCGTGCTTCGAAGCGTGCGTCAAAAACACCTGTAGAGTGATGCGCCGAACACGGTAACTCTTTGCTAAATGTCTTCACTGTCTCGTACGATGACATCTCTCTCCTGACAGCGCAATATGGGAGTCACAAAAGGATGGTTAAATTTTCTTCTTCCTCATTACATTTCAAAAGTATTTTACGCCGTCATTTACGAAATGCATTGGTGTAATCACTCTTGGCCGTGTCTGCAATATTATATAATTTACGAACGCGAAACTTAATTATTATGCGGCCAAATACAGCATTATATAAACTTCAGCATGGCGTCTTTACACATCACAAAGCAGCTTTATTGTGTGTGCAGCCATGAAGCCTTCACAAAGCAAAGAGCGTTTCTATTTGTCCGATAATAATTATTGCGCAGAAATGGGCAATTACTTCTGTCCTTCAAATAAAAATAATTTTTTCGCATCTCACATTATCTCAAGCTTTTGTTTTTTTTTTCAACAAAAATAAAGGTGATTGCAGTTTTTCTCGTCCCGCATCATTTCAAGTTTTTTTTCAACCAAAACAACGATAATTGCAGTTAACGTCAAACAACTGTCGACAAGCACATTGTTCTAGTAATGGAATAATGACAATCAGCACTAATTGACTTCAAATATATTTATGTTCATGCGGCGGAAGTAAACCAATATTTGTCCTTGATGTCGCTTCGACCATTTCTTTCATTTAAAAGTCGTGATTTTCTCGTGGAACAATACATCAGCAAAACGTGGGCGCAAAACGTGTTTAGCGCAAGCTCTCCACCGGTGATTTGTTGAGTCCGCCTTGCATAATCAGCAAAGTTTAGCGCAATATATTTCTCGGAATAAAGTTTATTAATGACTCCCCTCCAAATAAACCAATCCCCCCCCCCCCCAAAAAAAAAAACACAAGAAACTAGCAAGTGTTTTTTAACAAGTGGAAGCTCTACTCTGCTGTAACACAATGCTTCTCATTAACCTCCCCCCTCCCCCTCCCTAACACGCCTCGAATTGTCCGTCTCATGTGATCGTTAGACGGCTGTCTCAATTTTTTAAAACCGACAATCGCTTTCAATCTCGGCACTCTATTCAACAAAAAGCGAAGAAGAAGGAAAACGAAGATGCAAAAAGGGCGTCTAATAACTTAGGCACCCGCTACCGGTCAAAAGATTCTAGCGTTCTACATTCGCTGAACACGGCCGCATAACAAAAATGGCCGAGAAGCACTCATTTTTATATTTCCTTCGTTTCGCGCACAAACACCACACTTCACTGATGTCCTCGTTCTCTTCACTCTCGTCTTTCTTTTTTTTTCTTTTTTTTTATTCGTAATTGAGAGCAACAGTGTTCACGTTCCCGGATGTTCCGCACGACGTGCACGCAACACGTGTCAGAACCACTCCCTCGGCTCACTGAACCTGTATGTACAACAGAATCGGGATGGACGACGTCGTCTTGCTCGAGAGCCACACACCCATGCACACACCACGAATTTTCTCTGCTCCATCTCCAACAGTTCAACAAATAAAACCTCGCTCCGGTGGTCTATTTCGTAGACCAGCTAAGGTACACCCCCGCAACCGTACATCTGACGTAAACTTCTTTCAATCAGAGCTGCCGACTGTCCTGCAATGCGCGCGCGGTCAGCGCAGATGTCGATGGTGGTTCCACGCAATGTCTCCAAACTTCTTTTTTTTTTTCAGAGAGCGAGCGCCGGCCGCTCGCCATGGTTCACGTCACAGGCTGTCGTAGTACCCGAACCAAGAGCAGCAATGACAGGCCGGTCATCACCGACGTCCATCCAGAGCAGCGCAGGCTCGTGGTCGCAGCAGCTGCGAGCAGTGATTAGACCGGTCAGTGCCTGCAATCTCGCCACCCATTGTCCCATAGCCTCCTATATAGTGACAAAGCCTGGCAGATCGCCACCTGAAGCGGCCACCGAAAGGAAAAAGGTGGAGCGGCAGAGAACGGATGAGAGGAGATCCACGTGGCTGGCGCCCCGCTGAGGCCAGACGCCGAAACACACTTCTCCCGAGAGAACAAGTGTGTTTCAGGTCCTCGCCGCTGCAAATGCTGTGCGCTGACCTCCAGGTTCTACCAGAAATGGCTCTTTGATGCTCTGTGCTACCAGATCCTCGCGCTCCGAATCTGCAACTGCCGGCACTTTATGGCTTTGTCATCGAACTACCAGGCTTTGGGAGTATAGAGGAGGCCATGATTGTATTGTACAGTGGCAATGATCATCCGCCATCTGAACATAGAAACACATCGTCGCAACCGGAACTAGAAAAAAAAAAAATCCCTCTGGAGCGGAGGCAACTAGTATATTTTTTTCTTTGTTTCGTTTCTGTGTAACGATTGTATTATATTGCACAAATACCCCTTTGAATGAATCCCTGAATTTCACAACATATGAAACACACTCTAGTGTTGCTCCTATTGCATTAGTAAACACAAAAACAAATTAAAAAAAAAAAGAGCAGCGATTTCCCTTTTAACTCGCAGCAAGCACAAGCGGTCACGATATCCGGAGCCGATTATATGACGGAAATGGTTAACATAGCCACCCGCTAAGGATGGCGAAACACAAGACCCGCGCTGAGTCCCACGCATTGTTAGGCTTCGGGCAATTGTCGCCATGGAACGTATTGGTCACAACCCACTAGCCGAATAATTGTCGAGCTATTGAATATCGCGAGTCCTGATCGCGCGCTCATGCAATGATTGAGGTCAATCTATGGGCCACATTCTGATATCATCTCTGGAGGGTATTTTTACCTCCAAACAACGTCATCCAGTTTTGAGAAGGAGAGAGTAAAAGAAAACGCCCTCTGTTGTTTTAGGAATTGCACCGCAACGAAGAGGTCTCTATGGTCACTGGCGTGGCGTGCGAGTATACTTGGGTCCGTCTAATGCCAATGAGCTCGTGTAAGGTGAAAAAACAAAAAAAAAAAACACAAAAAAAAACATTCTTACTGAATGTCGTTGCACCGCCCCGCCCCTCCAAGAATGCGAAGCGTCTGGGCACAGTCTGGAGGCACGATCGATATTGGTTGCAAAAATTTGGTACATTGTAATCTTGAATGAGCTCTCGAAATGTTTTTTTCTCGCTTTTGTTGAACCTTTGTTGCTTAATATTGTTTTATTCTCTTCTTTATCCTGCGCTGTATATTTTATATATAATTATATTCCCATTGAATTCGTAAGAAAAGAAATAACAAGCGCTGACCAAGCAGATAAAGCGAGGCCGGACCTATTAATTCTTTTTAGGCCCGTGATAAATTGCTCCATAATTCTACCCAGTCCCTCGAAATAAAGGAAGGAATATGGAAAAAGCACCCAAGTGCAAGTGCGAAATTGTGCGGCGCCGTGGCAGCCACCTCAGGACAATCGCAATGTATCGCTCATGAGATTCAATAAAAACACGTTTCGTAAGGCGGCTTGAATTCATCCGGTTGGAACAAAGCTATTAATTCCCAATATAAAATCCATTTCTTAAGGAATATTAACTTTGTACAAGTAAAAAAGAAAGCTGAGCAAAAAACATCCACGGGGGAACGCAAAGCCAGCCGTGCTACTCCGCTCCCATTGTTAGCGTTTGGTTCGCATTTTGCCCCTAGGACGTTCTAACAGGGAACCATGCAAACTTCGTCTACTGCACAATACGTCTTCCTTCGAGTGACGCTCGTCATTTTACTTTGAACGTTCTGATTTATTCTTGCGGCTAATTCGTAATAGTGACCTCTTGTTCCAATGTTTAGGCGGTACCTTGGGTCTTGACATGCGTTTCTTATTGCTGAGCCAGTCCAAATCCGCATCCTGATACCGGTCACTCATGAGGATATTTTCATAGATTTTTTGGAATATCTCGGGTAGACCATTCAAATGTAAACTTAATTAGCTTCTAACAATTTTTTATATATTCAACGTACCTGTTTGCGTTATTTGAGAAAAGTTAAGTTGACGTCCACCGACAATAGCGCCTATGCAACATCGTGTAGTGAAACAATTAATTTCTTTGCTTTTATTGCCAGGAAGCTAGAATCTTTCTAGGGTGATCTGCATTGTGAAGGGAACTTTAGATCTTTCGAGTAATTAATCTGACGAGACAAATGATCGATTAAAAACGTTCTTGCACAAATATGTGAATACTATTTTTTAAAAAGTACGCCCACGAGATTCTAAAAGCCCCTTGTATAAAGAGAAATAACAAACGAAGAAAACAGATGCACGCTAAAACGAGTTGTTCAAACGAGAAAAAAAAAGAAAAAACTTGAATGCACTCCTATAATTTCAAAAAAGCATCGGCACAAATTAATAAGCGCTGAACTTAGGTCGAAAAGAACACAATTTTTTGCATTGATTGAATGTGAAAAAGACACTAACGTTGTTCTAAAACGGAGGAGCCTATGTTCAAAAAGTATCCCTCTGAACCTCTAGCATTTCATGCTACTCTCAAAAGACTCGCTAGCGAGTTGGTTTTATCATACATATTTAATTACTACTTCGTAAGCATGTAAAGGATGTCGATTCCGCCGAGTTCATTGCATATGGAAAAGGCGTTTTGATTAGGCACATTTTAACTTCAACCGATGATCGGTCAGTGTTAGAAAGAAACTCATAATGTTAAATTCAAACACGTAAATTGGCTAAATGCACCAGCTTGTAGCGATTGTTTTTTCAGATTATAAATAACAATGGTTTTGGTTTTGTGTAGAAAGAAGTTAAATATTACATTCAGAATGGTGTGCTTGTTTATGTGCTACTAAAACTAAAAATATTTTCTAGAATATTGCGCATACCGATTTTGCGAAAATATTCCCTGGTTTAGTTTTCAAAAGGAAACTTCAACGTAATGCCCGCCATAAAAAAAGCGAAAAACAATGCACTTACATCAGCACCAAATAAGACCGTGTACCTACGAAATACATGTTTATCTTTCAAAGACCTTGTTTTTGAAAATGACAATTTTCGCTCTTCAAATTACGGCTGCCCAGTATTCGTTGATTCTTCCTAACAATGTCGAGGACTTTTTTTTAAGTACTAACACGAATGGTTAGCAATATATACAGTTTTCTAACAAAATTGGTTTCAGGTATACCGCAAAAGGCATCTATGCAAACTTGGTTTTGATATTGTTAATATTGACGAAAATGCAAGTGTTTTTTTTTATTATATCAGCAGAAGACACCAGTAAACACAATAATATTTCCTGGAGAAGGGGCCTGTTCTTGGTATCGAACCAGGCGGATTTTTTCAGCGTTCACCAGTCACCTATTTGTGTTTAGAGAATTGAGTTTGTCGTTTGTCCTGTTGTTCCCATTTTCCAGGGATTATTATCGTTCATTCTGTCCAGCTCGGCTGCACCTTTGTATTCAATTGGATTCATCATAACACATATGTTCTGATCAGTGTAGAAATTGTTGCGCGAGTTGCAGATCAGTGCAGATTGTTGCGCGACGCCGTCTTTCAAAGGGAACGTTCTAGGCAGTCAAAAACATGGCAGCTCTTGAGACGAGGACAAAGGAGCAGACTGGACCAGAAACAGCTCTGTGCTGTCCATAGTCCTCCTTTTCCACGTCTCAAGCGCTACCATGTTTTTGAACACCTAGTACCTTACCTTTGGAAGACGGTATCGCTGGGATGTTATGGAGAGCGAATAGCTCTTTAAAAAATTAAGACAACGTGGATGCCTTTCAGTCCTGCAGATTTTATTTTCGCTCTGAAATGCTATCATTTCGTCAGGTTTTTTATTTCAGATTTTAGATTTTTCACTCCGCCCAGAAAATGAGGGAGAGAAGACAAGAGAGAGCGCGCGGGGTCTTCAAAACGCCGAGCTCTGGTTGGAATAATGACCCCAACCTAGCAGTCTTTGTCGCGCACTGCACTCGTCGAACGCGTTAGCACGCGAAACTCTGGCGCCCGGCGTTTCGCTCTCGCATTCGAACGCATTCCACGCGGGCAGTGGAGGCAAAGGTTGAGGTCGACCATAGGGTTGTCTATACTCAGAAAGCCTGGCAGTTCGACAAAGGAGCCATGGTGTGCCGGGTCGCAGATTTGAAGCGCCAGGATCTGGTAACACGGAGCATTCAACAACGATTTTTCGTGGAACCTGGACATCAGCGCACAGTTTTTACAGTGGCGAGGATCCGAAACACATTTGTTTGCTCGGAAGAAGTGTGTTTCGGCGTCTCGCCGCAGCGAGGCGCCAGTCACGTGGCTCTCCTTTCAACCGTTGTCTGCCGCTCCGCCTTTTCCATTTCGGCGCCCGCTTCTGGTGGCGATCTGCCAGGCTTTGTCAGTACACAGCAGGCTGTGGGTCTACCTACTAATCATTAAAGCCGGAGCTCGCCGTTCGAACGTCCTCGCGTCCTATCGTCTCTTTATCTCGGTCAGTTTCTCGACCCATACCCCGCAGCACACAATTCACTCATCAAATTGCACTTCGGCTTTAACACTTGGGAGCCTCCAAAACCGTGATGGCACACCCGATACAGTCGCAAACCCATTCAAATATAAACGCGCAGGTTGTGGAGAAACGGAACAGATAGCTGTGGTCAAGTTACATAACGAGAGAGAAAGGAAGAGACAAAGGGAGAAGGAAAATGGAGAGAAAAGATTGACTTACAGTCGACCCTGATCATCTTCTCGGCGAAGATGGTCTGAAAGGAGGGCGCGTCTGCGGAGACTTCGCACTTGTAGCTGCCTTCGGAAGCCGCGTCCATGCCTCGGATGAACACGCTGCCGTTCACCGAGCGCACCATCTGCACGAGAGAAGAATAGGACACACTCTGAACACAAGCGTCTCACTTGGAGCCACTGGCAACGTAAGGAACGTGGAGTGTGAGTTATTGCGTACATACAGGCCTCTTGCTTCGTGATTGCCCTTTGGCGCTCTTGTCGGCTAATGCCCCAGTCTCATTGGAGGAGAAGCGGCAATCAGATGCAGGACACTCGCAACGCTAGCCTATTAGAGTCTAGAGTGTCATATTTACACCTCTTTTCTAGTTTCTGTTAACAAAAGCTGTACGCAGACTGTAATCTTTTCGTGTAGGCTTACCGCTTCAATCTATGTGGGCTGATTATGTCCGGTTTTTCGCAAACCCAACGCCGTATAGATGGCGGGGCGGTAGTTCTTATATGGCGGAAGACACGGGCAAAAATTTGTCAGAATTTTTCGCCCACCCGCTCGCTGACGCCTTGTTAGTGCGCTTAGAGTAATATATTTAGATAGAAATGCGAAGTGGTCTGGGCAGGGGCGTATGAACGGTGACGAAGATGTTGACGTGCGTTAGGAAAACTAGCATATTAATTTCTTTTAAAAAGTGCGGAAACCCCAACTTCGGGGGGCAGTCAGTGAGTTGTGTACGGAAAATATTCTCTAGGTTGGTAAAGGTACTGTGGCATTTGCATTGCACACGGCCTGCAATCCCGAAAAAGTAAAGCTGGGCAGGGTAACCGCCAAGCTCCGGAAGGGTAGCGCTCACGTTGATGCCTCCGTGGCAGAGGCTCACAAGTCACTGCACACCGTAGAGATTTTAGCACCCTACAACACGCTATCAACCTTCGCCATAGTTGCTAATATTTCGTTATAGCATAGCTTTAACGTGGGGTATCGTTCGCTGTGGTATTGAAACCTATAGCTCGTGCTGCACCTTTGAAGCGTGATTTTCAGCACATTAGGCCTGTTGGCCTGCCTACGAAGGCCTCCGTCTTTGATATGCTAAAACTGCATAATAATGCCATCGGCGCAATTGAAAGTTTTAATATTGCTCTATAAAAAGCTATTTGAATATAGAGTATTGTATACCTTTGTGCCGTATTATTTGCAGGGCCGCGACCTGCCTCGACAAAACTGCCCGCTCCAAGCACACTTCGAAATTTTACGAATATTTTTCTTTCGCCTTCATAATTACCTAAGTGCAAGTATGCGTACTGTGTCCTTTGAAGAGTTTGGGTACTCTGTCCTTTGAAGAGTTCGGAGCAAACGGTATTGAGCAAACGGTCATGTTCCTTGTGACGCCTTTTAGCGCGTAAAACGTTAACCCATTCCCGATGTCAATGGCTCGACACAGCGTTGAACGTGCAGCTCTCTTCTACTTTCGGAAACAAATAGAGTTTTCGTAGATCGTGCATAAGATATTTGCACCATTAGCAGGAGCATATTCCGTCACATCGATCGCAGATTATGTCGGCGAGCTTAGGACCCGAAATCGAGAGCACACGCGATCTCCAAAAAGTCTCCAGTTACGTTAGAGATCCCGATTCTTTCGTGCAACGCTGTTACTATGGAACACAACATATCCCATTACCATTTTTTAGGCCACCTGAGACTGGGTAGAAGAAACACGACGACTTCTTAAACACAGCTAACCACTTTATTCAGTTCTCCCTCCTTTTATACAACATAAGCCCAAAATCGTCACCATAAAAAACACTACAAACTAAGGCAGCAAGGGGACACGTCTTGACTTCGCAGCCAGGATAATCTTAAAAAAAAAATAACGAATCACTTTAAACTAACAAAAGCTACACACACATCAAAACTTCGGCCGAAGGGAACAATTCTTTGACCTCGCAACCACTATTATCTTCACAAAAAACGAAGAAGCGAATCACCGGAACCGACTGCAGTCAAAAAAATAATAAACTTAGACCACCTCGCCTGCGCCCTAACTGTTTTTTCACAACATATCCTATCTTAACGAAACCGGGTTTTTTCGTTACAACTGCTTGTGTACGAGCACGCTGACCAAAACAATGCCGTAGCTGCAGCACAAAGGCTGCCAGTCTCTGCTACCGTCTCCCCCTCCGTCACCGCTCCTCTGGTTTATTTATTTAATGTTAGTTTGAGGAATTCGTTTAGACCTCTTTCTTTTCTGTTTACGTATTACATCCCGGGCTGCCCATAAAAATAACGGTGCAAAGGAATATGGATATATATATATATATATATATATATATATATATATATATATATATATATATATATATATATAGAGAGAGAGAGAGAGAGAGAGAGAGAGAGTGACTAGGTCTTTCTCGGGCCGAAACGTCGACTGACGTTACGTATATAATGTCATGAAACTCCAAACAACCGTCGCAAGTACGTTTTTTTGCCGTTTATGTATATACAGGTGTTTTTTTATGAGGTTTCGAAGATTTGTTTACAAAAGTTGTGAAAGCTAAACCTATTCGGCTTGTTCAGGTGCGTTATACAGCCGGGGGGACATAGCATATGAGCTAATTGTATCGATTAGTCGGCTAATTAAGTAAAATGTGTTCATTAACTTTTTTGTTTGTGAAATAGTCGTATCAGTCCAATTAGAAATTTGCTGAGCGTCGTCCAAAACTCCTAAATCCGTGATTTTTAGAAAGAATTTTGGCACGTGACAAGCGCAATAGTGCGCTAAAGTTACCACTCGTAGAGCAGATACAAGGCTGGGGCTAGATAAGAGACGGAAAAATCACGCGGACGCCTTACCGCAACCGCTAGGCTTGTACCTGCTCCTCGAGTGAGTGGTAACTTTAGTGCACTATTACGCTTCTCACGCGCTGAAAATCTTTCTCAAAGTGACCGATTTAGTGGTTTTCGATAACACTCAGCAAGTTTCTAATTTAAACCATGTCACCATTTTCGCAAATTAAAAAGTTAATTAGCTTGTTTTACTTAATTAGCCGACTGATCGTTACGATTAGCTCAATATACCATGTCCCCCTGGCCGTATAATTCATCTTCAGAAACAGCATAAGTGTAGCCTTCACAGTTTTTTTAAGCAAATCTGTGAAGCTTAAAAAAGCACCATATATATATATATATATATATATATATATATATATATATATATATATATATATATATATGCACAGGCAATTTTCTTGGCATAATGATAAGTGTAATTTTATGATCAAATAAATCTACGTGTGGCAGTCATCATTAGTCACGACGTGCAGAAGGGCTTAACATTCAGAGCCGCGTACCAGCGGTGGAGACCTCCATCGCTGGAAGGAAAAAAAAAAACTACGGGCATTTATATTTAGCCTCTCCACTCTCCTCCCATTCTCTTACAGTGGCAGCCTCGAACGATTAGCAGCGCGTCCCTGGTTTGCAAGTGTACGTCAGAGGTATTGAATTCGCAGGGCTGTTGGCTTTCCCTTTAGTGGGCTGGGGCAGTGTGCGTAGAAGCAATTCCAGGCACCGTTGGCAGCAAAGTTTCTGCGTTTTTTTTTTTTTCTATCGAACATACTTTCTTAAGCACTTTGAAAAAGCGTTGTTCCTTGGAAAAAAACGAACAAACGTAAAATATTTTAAGGGAGTGCCTACGTGACAAAAAAAATACAAATCAAAAGTTTGTTACAATTCGTGCAGATTTTCCCACCAATAAACACTTAATCACGCCAATGCACCAAAGCCCTCAATGTAAAAAAATAGTTTTCTACAAGGGATAGCCAAAAAGCATGAGCACTCTCCGCCCAAACCATAAAATTTATCAAGTCTGTGCAATCGAACAACATATATACGCACAACACGGAGCCTTATTAACCGAACAAGGTTTATTTAAACAAATATATCTAAAATAAAACAGCATATATAATCTACAGTGTCGACAACTGTAACCTGACGACCGTCGGACGAACTGTAGACTTAATTGTGGGGAGAGCTCGCTTCTTGAACATCACCAAAGGAAAAGAATGAACTTGTCTGCAGCGTTCTCCACACCAACCCCATGAGCTATATTTTTGAAGACCAAAAACTCTCTGGGGGTATTATCTCAGCGAAGACCATATAACTACTTCCTTTCGCAGTTTTAATCCTGTCTCCCAGATGGGTTCAACTTTCAACAAAAGCTCCGGGCGCAGGGGTTTTCAGACCGAAATCTGGGTTTTTCACCTGATAGGAATTTGTGTGCCGAATCCTTTGCTCAAATAAGACACTTCAATCCTGAACTGAACAATGAAAATCAAGGGCGTCCGTAAACGCCGCACATTTTTTAACACCCCTAACTTCAGTCTGCTAGAGGAGGGCATAAATACAAGTGTTTTATTGACATTTCTGTGGTCTGCGCAAATTTACCACCTCTCCGAGTCGTAAAAATGGGGAAAAAAACGCACTGTGCTTGCAAATTTTTGGATTTTGATATTTGCCTCTCCGACCGAAGTGGTAGTGAAGTTCATGTTCGACCTGTATAAAAATACGAGCACACGACAATAATGTCAGATCACGATAGGGCCCCAGTGAGTCTCACAGAACAGGTCGCGTCGGCTGCCAGATAGCCACAAATAAGGGAACCAGTACCTGGTTTACTCACTATAGATTAAAACAAAACAAACAAAACTTCAGCATACTGGTTTTCGTAGATAAACCGAAAAGAACCGAGAAGTTTGTGAGTCTACAAGTATTCACCGCAATAAACTGAAAACTTCTGTTTAGAATAAAAAATAAACGAAAAAAAGTACACCGAATTTCAAAATTATAAAAACCGAAAACGACAAACCTAAGCTATCTTGTCAATGTCGTACTTTGACGCTGTGCTGTTTTCTCGCTGTGCTGTTTTGACGCTGTGCTGTATTGACGGCGTGCTGTTTTGGCACGTGCTCTTCTGTCGCTGTGCTGTTTTGACGCTGTGCTGTTTCGTCGCGTGCTATTTTGACACGTTCTGTTTTGTCGGCGCGCTATTTTGACGCTGTGCTATTTTGACACGTGCTGTTTTGGCCGTGCTGCTTTGTCGCGTGCTGTTTTGTCGTGTGCTGTTCTTTCATGGTG